ACATGTTGTGTGCCATAGGGTTCGGAGCTGAGGCCTCAGCTCTTTACAGTTAACATAAATGATTTGGGTAAAGAGATCAAAGGTATGGTAACTAAATTTACTGATGATAAAAAGATAGAGAGGAAAGTAAGTAGTTCACAAAGGGATACAGACAGGTCGAGTGAGTGGACAAAATCTGGCAAATAAAGTTCAACATGGAAATGTGTGAAATTGTCCATTTTGGCAAAAAGAAAAAGAAAGCATATTTCACAATTGTGAGAGGTTGCAGAGCTGAGATGCAGGGAAATCTAGGTGTCCTAATGCACAAATCACAAAAGGTTAGTATTCAGATTTTCTGAAGAAGGGTCCCGACCCGAAACATCAGCTTTTCTGCTCCTCTGATGCTGCCTGGCCTGCTGTGTTCATCCAGCTCTACATCTCGTTATCTCAGATTCTCCAGCATCAGCAGTTCCTACTATCTCCACCCTGTCTATCCTTTTTTAAGTATTTTGTAAATTTCATTGCAATCACCTCTCATTCTTCAAAACACTAGAGAATACAAGTCCAGTTTGCCCAATCTATTTTCATGAGACAGTCTCACCAATCCAGGAACCAGTCTTATGAACCCTTGCTGTCCTTCTTCTGTGGCAATATATTTTTCCTGAGACAAGGAGACCAAAATTGCATGCAGTATTCTAGTTGTGATCTAACCAAGGCCCTATACAATTAAAGCAAGACATCACAACTCCTGCAGTCCAATCTTCTAGCAATAAAAGCTAACATCCTGTTAGCATTCCTAATAGCTACAACTGAAAATGTTAGCCTTCAGTAACTTACAACCGAGGACACCTAGGTTCCTTTGTATGTCTATACTTTCCAACCTACCATTTAAGAAATATTCTGTATATCTGTTTCTCCTACCAAAGGGAGTAGCTTCACATTTTTTTCATGTCTATTCCATCTGACATGCTCTTTCTCATTCACTATGCTTGTCCAATTCCTCCTAAAGCCACTTGACATCTTCCTCACAACACACATTACCAGTTAGCCTTGTATCATCTACAAATTTGGAAATCTGTTTCTTGGTGCCCAACTTCAAATCATTGATATATACTGTGAACATCTGGGGCCCAAGTACAAATACTTGCAGTACCCCACTATTCAAAGCCTGCTAACGTGAGAAGAGCCCATTTATTCCTACTCTCTGTTTTCTGCCTGTTAGCCAATCTTTAATCCATGTCAGTATATTATCTCCTATCCCATGTACTTGAATTTTTCTAAACAGGATCCTGTGGGGTTTTTAACAAAACTCTTGTGAAAATCTAAGTATAGTATATCCATTGACTCTCCATTATCAATTTTGTTACTAACATCTTCAAAAACTTCAATAATTTTGTCAAACACAAATTCTCATTCACAAATCCCTACTATACCCAATCAGATCATTATCATCCAGGTGTCTCTTATCTCATCTTTTCAATAAATTCTAGCATTTCCCCTACAAATATTGTACGACTGACAGCTCTTAGTTCCCTGTTTTCACTTTCTTTCTCCATTTTTAAATCATGGGACACATTTGCTAGCTTCCAATCCATAGGAATCATACCAGAATCTATAGAAGTTTGGAAGATAATCACCAATGCATCTACCATCTTTGTAACCACTGCCTTCAACACTCTGGGATGTAGACCATCCTGGGGATTTTTCAACTTTCAGCCCAAATAATTTCTCCAGTACGATATTCTGACTAATGCTAATTTTCCTTCAACCCCTTATTCTCCATAGCCACTTAGATCTCTAACTTGTGGGAGATTTATGGTATAATTCTGAGTGAAAGTAGGTACAAAGTAGTTATTTAGCTTCTCTACTAGTTCTCCATTTGTCATTATAAATTCTCCTGCAATAGACCCATGTTCGTTTTAGCCAAACTCTTTGTGATATTGAGCCATCTCCTGATTTGGAAACATTACATACGAAGTCATTCCTGGAGGGGTGGCTGAAGGTACCGTCTTTGTTGTGTGCTCGTTTATTCTGAAGGGACTTCTGTTTTTTTTCTAAAATATTGAGATCCTTTGATGATGGAGACTTCATCATTTCAATTGCTGTAACGTCGTTTCCCACCCCAAACCGCATGTTATAATTACGGGATCCTAGACTGATTTTCAGAATGTGTGAAACCAAAAATTCCTATCATGTACATAAAATTCCACTGGATGTTTAAACCAGTCCAAGAATATACAGTTGTTCTGGAGAAGAGTCACTAGACTCGAAACGTTAACTCCTTTTTCCTTTTCCACAGAAGCTGCCAAACCCGATGAGCTCCTCCAGCATTTTCTGTTTTTATTTTATTCGTCTGGAGTGTTATTTTCACGTCCCCTTTGAAGAGAACGTGTTAGCCATTTCAGTTACATAAGGCTGTGTCGCAGAATAGTCGATGTTATGGGGCAGTACTACAGTTTTGTTGAACGTTTGCAGAATGGGTTTTAATGAGAGATAGTTGTCGAGCTCAGGGAAGTTCCAGGTTTGAAGCAGCGGATCACCAGGCCGAGCACTTCCAGTCATACGAGCTTTGTCTTCCAGTGTATGGCCACTCGGGGTTTTAGTTGAAGCTCTGAACATACATGGAGAAAGGAGAGGATATTTAAATTGTTTCTGAATTATTCCCTCCTCTCCTCCCCACCCAGCGACTCGAAAGCGCTGATTCTTCAAAATCCGGCTTAACGGTCAGCCGCTCGAGCGCCTGGTTGGGACGAGAAAGAGGTCACCCATCCGGGCATTTGATAGGAATTGAGGTAGGTGGGGGGAAGGGGGTCAGAAGGGATTGTGGGACATGTAGTCCACCGGTGACGGCTGTCTGGAGCGATGGAAGCGGGACTACAACTTCCAGGGGGGACGTGGGAGGAGGGGTTTGAGCTAGCGCCTGCGCAAAGGCCACTGTGGATCTAGCGATCGATCGCGTCAGTGCTGTCGGGAGAGACACACGCGAGGAGTCGGAGCTCGGTTTCTTCTACCACCAGCACCCGGCGGATTCTCGGTGCTCTCCTCCTTTCCCACACCACCCTCTTCGGCCTCCATTCGGACACCCACCGACCCGTCGGAGAGAAACATCACCACAAAAGGAAAGGTTGGGGAGGGGGAGAGAGAGAGAAAAAGAGGCTTTTCAAAAAAAAGGGGCTGCGACGTTATTTTTTGAATCCGGTGACATTCTGAGCGCGGCCATGGATTCGAAAGACGTGGCGGATTACGCCCCGGATTCCTGGGAGCTGGCGGCCGACACGGATGTCGAGGCCCAGATGAATTCCTCGTTCTCCCGGCTCAATGTGAACGCCAAACCGTTCGTCCCTAATGTGCACGCAGCGGAGTTTGTGCCCTCCTTCCTGAGGAGCTCGGACGAGGTTGGGGAGACGCTAGAAGGTAATGAGACATAGTGTGTCTCTCTCACTCACACGCGCGTACAATTTTTATATCGCTTAAATCAAAGTACACACAATAAATCCCCGAGGCTGTAGAGTCGGTGTGAGTCCGGGTGGCGACGGGCCTTCGAGTGAGGCCTTTGTTCCGTTGAAGCATGGGAGGTGGGACTAGGGGAGCTTGGGAGGGGTTGCATTGACCGCCTTCCACAGGGACAGGAGACTAATGGTGTCCACATTTTTCCCCCTCTCTGCACGATCCGCTACAGTGAATTTTTCTTGTCCAAATTCCAGCCAGAATGGGGCGAGCCGCTCGCCTATTTTGCGCCTGGATGACAGGAGGTCTGGGGGTGGGGGTGTTTATAACTAACCCTGAAAAAAAGGCCCTCTTCCATGCCCTCCATGTCGATGTGAAGCGCCGGCTTTTCAGATGATGTTTCAAACTCAACTTTCTTGGAGCCGTATTCTATTCGCGTGTCTGTATGGCGCTCTGTGCTTTTACCCCCTCCTTCTTGCGAAATGTTCCATATGGTGGACTGGGGAAGGATTATGCTGCATCTCTCATGGCCTGAGGCCCGGACATGAAAACCGAGCTCCGTCTCAATTTTGTGTTTGTAAAATTCCTGTTCCGCTTCGACATAGTGAGAGAGAAAAAAATACTGACGAATCCTTATAAACAGGCATTAACGTCTGCGCCGTGTATTCCTGCTTTTCAGACAATGCTGGGAGTGTTGAATTACAAGAAAACTTGAAGAAAGAGCCGCGTAGTTATTTTCGCGTATGACTTCATTTATTTATCCTAGTCCTAGTCAGGTTTATAGGCAAAAATTGGTCATTGGTATTTACGAATCGATGGCTTAACTTTGCAGATGCGATTGTAGCCACTTTACAGAAACCTTGGAAACTGTTTTAACTTAAATTGGCATGGCGGGGGGAGTTGTTAGGAGCTTGAACCTACTGTATGTCACGCAATCACGTAGTTATATTGCATGCTGCCTTGTTAAGTACTGTATGGTAATTGTGTTGGCTACTTTCAGCACTTTTTTGAAGACATCCGTGCTACAAACAACAATTAGTACTCATGGATTTATGAGACGGTATGTATTTGTTATGGAGTTGTGACATTTCTAGTGGTCAGTCTGATTATAGCAAGTAAGCTGCAGTGCATTAACTAGAGAAGTATTAACGCCGCATCGAGTTTTGAGTTGAATGAGCCGCAAGCGCCCTTTTCTTTAAACATTGGACTTTTTCATCTAGGGTTGAACAAGGTGGAGTTGCAAGTTAGATTCAGCTCTTGGTTGTAAGATGGTTGTTATGCAGCTGTGTCCTAGGAATAACAAGGATAACTGCCTGTTTGTACATTGAAAGGTTCTTGCGTTCATTTCGGGTAGACCCTGTGAACGGTGATAGTTAGAAGGCATTTGCTTCTGAGGCATGGTTCATTCTTGCTCAATTTCTCCTCCACATTCTGAATATAACCAGAACTGGAATTGCAATTTGTGTTTCCAAGTCTCTTTCATGAACACTGGAATAATTTTGTAGAAGTTGTGTTCTCTTGTGGAATATTGCCTTCAACGTTTTAAAAGAAAACTAAGCAAAATTGGTTTTGATGAGGAGTATAATTTGTATTGAAATAGCATGTCCATTTTTGCATGCATTGCAATTTCTATTCTGATTTTTAAACTAAAACCATCTCTCCACATTTATTCTTGACATGGGTTCTTAAAAATTATGCTGGTTACAATATAAATAAGTGTTGTTATTGCAGCATGGTGGTGTGGCAATGGTGAAAATTGTGATCCATAGGTCTCTATGTAAAAGTAAACTTTTTTGGGCAATGCTTCTTGATATAAGGACAAGTTGTAACTTCTGGTAGTCAGCTACAAAGTTCAGACAACCAAAAGATCATTTTCTTTCTTTCATGGGAAGTGGGATCAATGGAGTGGCCAACATTTATTACTGTTGCCTCATAGTTCTTGAGCTGAGTGGCTTGCCTGACCGTTTGTTTTGGAGGGCAGTTTAGAATAGGTGACATTCAGTGGATCTGGGCTGGTATGTAGACCAGGTCAAGTAAGGATGGTAGATTTCCTTCCCTGAAGGACATTAGTGAACCAAATGGGTTTTTACAAAGGTCAGAATGATCTTGTGGTTGCCAATGTGAGGATGACTTTGAATTCCAAGTATTTCAGAATTCAAATTCTGTTAGCTGCTGTGGTGCAATATAAACCTGTCTGGGCCCCTGAATTGCAGCTTGAGTGAAATGATCACATCATCCCAAACCATCCTTCCATCCCTACTCTGTAATATTGAAGGGAATATGGCTCCAAGAAAAGGGAGAACATGCATAGTTGATCTCCACTGATGGTTTTGATGTTCCTTAGTAAAGTAACAGGCGCTTCTGGAGGATGCAGAGGCCAGGGCAGCGTGCTCCATTATTTAGGTATGACTGCCACTATTTATCATACTGTTGATAAATTTGTCATTTAAGTCTTAAATTTCTATAGCACTTCAACATGAAGTATCCCTTTTCTTCATAAGGCAGGTTAAGCCTAACAGTAATACCCGAAACATTGACTGCTCCTTTCCTCCAGATGCTGCCTGGCCTGCTGTGTTCTTCCAGCCTCCTGTTGGTCTACCTAAGCTTAACAGAAGTTGAAGATAGGAATGGATGACCAATTTAATGAGGAAAGTTCTGCAACGAGCTGTTCAGTGTTTCAGTACAATGTAGGTTTGACCACTAGTGCTATATATGAAGTTGGGAGAAAACAGTTGAGTCTGGTGTTTGGCCTAAAATAGACTTGAATTTCGGACCGGTTGGAAACGCAGGGGCATAATGCTGAGAAGCAATTTGTAAGTGAGGATTTACTCCTGAGTAACAGCTTTATTGCTACATCCAAATATTTGCAACAGGGATCCATCTCACAATATGTTTATGCATCATCTCCAGCTGCGGCTGCAACTCTTTCCATGGCATTTTGTATATTGTTAATTTCTGCTGTATGTTTGCACACCAGCTTAATTATACTTCTTGAAAGTTCCTGAAGGACAGCAAGTGAAGACTGTTGAAAGCAAAGTTCATAGCCAAGGTCAGTTTTGTTTCAGAGAACAGTGCACAGTTGCCAATAGTATTTTGTGCAGCATAGAGCCTTATTGCTGATGAGGTATGGAAAATTCAAATCTAGTGGTCCGAAAGAAAGTTCCCATTTTAAATTCTCGGTAGAATGTGGAAGTGATGACCATGAAAAATTACCTTCAGGAGAAATTGATCCTTGTGTCCAGGATTTGCACCCTAACTTCATGCCTAACAGTTGGAATGGGAATGGAATTGGACACTTCGAGTTTCTGATAGTGAGCACCAGGAGTGACTTTCTAATGTTATAAAGAGGTACCTCAACGATTTGATATCAGATACAGATGATTGCATAACTGCTGTTTAAGGCCAGTTCCTAAACTGAAGTTGACTTTCGACAAAGATTTTAATGTCTGTGCGCTTTTTTAATCCTTGTGTGGAAAACATGCATTTACATTCCAAATTTCGAACGATGCATGTAAAGTAAGCATTTTGAGCAGATACTTGTCAGAAAGAGTTGTCTGGAAAGTGCAACTTTATCTACTCAGCACAGATTATGACCAGGATCTTTATGTAAATTTTATTAGTAGTGAGTAGTGTATGCAATAATCTCAATTTAACCTCCTTTTCACGCGTGTCAGATTCATGATGTGAATGTACAGATTAGGATTCAGTAATATCATAGCTGTTCTTGTTACCTCACATTTCTACCTTCCACCAATAACCTTTCACCCCCCTTGCTCAACAAGAATCTGTCTGCTTTGACCCTTAAAAAAAATTAACGTTTTATTTTCACCACTTTCTAAGCAAGAAAGCTCCAAAGAGACTCAATCCTTAGTGAGAAAACACTTTCCCATACCTATGCCTTAAATGGATGATTTTTTTCTTTTTAATCAGTGACCCCTAGTTCTAGGTTTTCCTTTCCAGATCTGTAACAGCCCTTCAGAATCTTATCGGTTCAACCAAGTTACCTCTTACCCTCCTTACCAGCAGCAGATAAGCACTAGCCTGTCCAACCTTTGTTCATAAACCAGTCCCCTCATTCTAGGTAATAGTCTAGTAAACCTTCAGCTGGTGTGGACTGGAGGGGCCAAATGGCCTGCTTCCATTCGGTGGGATTCTTATGAGCCTTCTCTGAACTGCTTCCAATGTATTTATACATATTTTCTGTTCAGATGTTGTGAAGCACCTCTGGAACAGGTGAGCCTTGAACCAGGGTCTTCTGGCCCAGTGATCAGACTACCATACCTACCACTGTGCCACTGGAACTGACCAGTATTCTTACTTAAATAAGCAGACCAAGACACACTGCACTGTATTCCTGATGTGATTTCACCAGTGCCTTGTATAATTTTACCATAAGCATGCTTTTATATTTGGTTAATCTTAATACATGATAACATTCTGTTTGCTTTCTTCGTTCTTTGCTGAACCTCATGTAAACCTCTGCAGTTCATGTTTGAGGATACCCAGATCCTTCCACATCTCTGCAATCTGTCATCACTTGGATAATATGCTGCTTTTTCATTCTTTTTGCTGAAATTGACAAATTTCACATTCTTCAACATTATGATTCATTTGCCTGATCTTTGCCCATTCACTTAACCTATATGCATCCGTAAGGCTGTAAGATATAGGAGTTGAATTAGGCTAGTGAGCCCATTGTCTGCTCCATCATTTGATCGTGGCTGATATGTTTCTCAACTTCATTATCCTGCTTTCTATGTGCGTTCCTTGTGTCTTCACAGCTTACTTTCCTATCTAAGTTTGTGTTCTTAGCAATTTGTGCAGTTGCACCACAGTCTTTCAAATTATTTCTGTGGAGTGTGAAGAAAAATTGAGAAGTCACCACCATGCCTGTGGCACACCACATGTAACCAACCAAAAAAGGTGTCAATTTATGTCTACTGTTTCCAGTTAAATAGCCAATCTTT